CGGCACGCGGGATCCTCCCGGACCGGGGCACGAACCCGTATCCCCTGCATCGGCAGGCGGACCCTCAACCACTGCGCCACCAGGGAGGCCCGTAGGGGCTGTATTTTAAAGGAAGATACTATAGAAATATGGAATGTTCTTCTACAGTATTATTTCATAGGGTTTTTTCATTTCATTCCTCCAGATTTTAGATAATCTTAAACTAAATTCTCTATCCCTTTCCCCTTTATCCTCCATCACCATTCATCAAAGGAAAAAAAAAAAAGCAGCACAAGTGCATTTTTTTTTAAGTTAATTCAAACACCTTAGGACTATTAGCTGTTTGGATTAGAGTTCTACTGTAAACCCCTATTGTAGAGCCACCAATGACACTTTTTGCAGAATGTTTTATTGGCATAAACTCTCTAGTACTCAGATTGCTCGCACATAAGTTCTTCTGGAGAATCTGTCATCCAGATAAGCTCTTGTGTTATCTTGAACATCGCAGCACAAGATTCAGGCGACTGTCACTTTGGGGAGAACACACAGCATCTCAAACAGCAGGTTAGCCGCCACAAGGGCTGTGTTTCCTACAAAGCAGTGAAAAACCCAAACGTGAACACCACACAGACCACCTCCTGAGGCCCAGCCCCTCGGGCTCCACAGCCTTTGTCCCTTTGTGCTTCCTTTCCCAGAGTCCTAACTTGCGCGCTCCTCTGCGGTTCCCCACCGCCCCGTGGACATGCTTTCCCCGGCGTTCTCTCCAACAAGCATCATTCAGAAAAGGTATTTTAAAATTCAGAAGGCTCTCTGTTTACTCTGAGAACAGATTTCCCCCAAAGGAAAACCTATCATATTGGTGTGTATCGTATTTACTATCTATCCTCTAAGGCTAACGGGCCTAACCCTGTAAGTTTTTCTAGATTAAAATTATTGGGATGGCATTGGCTTTGAATGTCTCTCCTAAACCAGCTAACCCCCCCCCACTTTATCAATATTAATAAATACCATTTATGCCTTGAGAATTCACTTTTCAATGAAATATCCAAGGCAGATGGCACTGGGCAGCCCTGTCGCTGAAGTGCACGCTGGTTTCTCTCTCTTCTGCTGACGGGTGGGCCGGCTAACAATCCTTAGCCGCCTCCCAGGGGGTTTGTTAGGGTTCATTAGCTCACATCTGTACAGTGTACAGTAATAGGTTTATTTTCTTCACTGTAGGACATACTCAGCCGGTTCCCGAGTTATATAAAGGGACCCATCCATCTACTTATTAACTAGTTAATACAATTTAAACTAGCCGCTGGGACTTCCCTGGTGGCGCAGTGGGTAAGAATCCTCCTGCCAAGGCAGGAGACACGGGTTCAAGCCCTGGTCCGGGAAGATCCCACATGCCGCGGAGCAACTAAGCCCATGCGCCACAACTACTGAGCCTGCGCTCTAGAGCCCGTGAGCCACAACTACTGAGCCCATGTGCTGCAACTACTGAAGACCACGCGCCTAGAGCCAGTGCTCCGCAACAAGAGAAGCCACTGCAGTGAGAAGCCCGCGCACCACAACGAAGAGTAGCCCCCGCTCGCCGCAACTAGAGAAAGCCTACGTGCAACGAAGACCCAACACAGCCAAAAATAAAAAATATAATAAATAAATAAATAAATAAATAAACTAGCCGCTGCCCACGGATCACATTTGTCTCTCTTACTCACCAGAAGGATCGTACGGCGGTGAAACCTCCACAAGATCACAACCCACCACGTTCAGTCCTTGACAACCCCGGATGATCTCCAGAGCCTGTCCAAGATGAAGCTTGAGTTGTCCAGAGAGGTAATCATTGACAACAGAAAGCAACCAGTAGAGGCCTCCATGGATTTCTCCCAACATGGGCCTGCCCTTCGACTTGGAACTGTCGCTTTCCCTCAATAAACATTCATTGACCACCAGGCACCCTGGTGGGATCGCAGAGACAAACCAATCGCTTCACTGCCAGCATGAACGGCTTCAGGAATAGTATGAGCACATGTCGCAGCCTGAAGAGGCTGGGGAAGGCTCCTCCAAGGTGGAAACACTTAGCTCAAGGAACTGACCAAGCAGAAGAGTAGGGAGAGGGCAGCCCAGGGAGAGGGAAAGACACATGCAAAGGCGCCAAGACGGAAAAGGTACTAGTAGTCAGACGTGGCCGGAGATAGGATGAGTGAGGGGGGCGGCAGGGAGAGCGTCAATTTGCTTCCGTTCTGCAGGTGAAAAGCAGGAAGGATGCAAAGCCAAGGAATGAGGAGTGTGTTCTAGAAAACTGATGGGAACTGGGAAAGGCTTTAGAGAGGCTGTTATGACCATCCTCCTTTCTGAGAGGATAGAAGATAGTTGATTAGTCCAAGCAGTCTTCATTCATTTACTCCAGTATCTGTGAGTACCTCCTACTTATATGTCAGACACTCTCCTCGGCTCAGAGAGTAGTGAACAGAACAAAGGTCCACCCCTGGAGCTTTCCTTCTAGGTAGAGCCACACTCCAGTTCTGCCTCCCTGTGCTATGCTCAGCATACCATGGGAGCTTTCTTTGAGGGTTTCTAAAACTCTTGAACTACCCTAGGAGGTGTTAATCCCACTGTGCATACCTTTAAAATTTAACCCCAAAAAGGTAAGTTTGGTGTCTGAACAGGGGGCACTACAATATTGTCCCCATGAACAGGTGGACCAGAGGCAGAAAGACCAAATAACGGACTATTATATCCCAGATAAGAAATGAGGGCCCTTGCCAAAATCAGTCACTCATCAATAAGGGAGAATCCAAACCTGTGATCAGCCCTGAGCACAATAAAGGTCCAGGTGCTCTGATTTTAAAAGCCCATCCTGATTTCTAAAGACTCAGTTCAGGTCCCAGGAAAGTGGGGAGCTAAGTATCCTCACCCACAGGAAGTGTCACTGGTGGAGCCTCCTTACCTGACTAGGGGTGAGACCAGCAATTTCGGGTGTCCCTGTCCCTGGGGCATAGGCAGGATCCAAGCCGTCGATATCAAAGCTGATATAAATGGGTCTGACTCCCATCTGCTGCCTCACTTTTCCCATCAGAGGAACCAGTGATTTCATCCAGCAGTCTTCAGCCAGGACCACCCGGAAGCCCTGAGAAAGAATTGAAGAGCAGAAAGTTGACACTTGGGCCTGGCAGCATTTACTGGGCATTTCCTATAGGCCTACCCCGTGCTCAGCTTCTGTGCACCTCAAAGTTGACCCCCGATATCCATGAGGAGGGAACTCTCATCCCCATATCAGACCCATCGCCTTGGGTCTGGACCTCCTCCACTCTTTTTCAAGCCAGCAGCTTGTTTCTGCTTGTCTCCCCTCCCCAGCGATAAGAGGCCTCCTCTGCCTCATGAACTATCATCCCCGCTCCTATCTGCTCCACAGGACACAAACTCACCCTTCTGTCCCCACTTTGAGCTTGATTAGCAAAGTCCCTTTGAATCCATAGCCTCCACTGAGTGGGCAATGGAGAGAAAGGCACTTTGGGGCCGGGGACAGAGGGGGGCTTTCGGCCTGTCACCTGGCTCCGGCTGTATCTGTAGGTATCCAAGGTCATGGAAGAGCCCCGGATGCCGATCTGTACCACGCGCTTACAGTCCAGGAGTCCCTCGTCCACGCACCGGCGGAAGGGCGTCCCGTGATAGAGCTTCTCACCCAGGGCCTTGTCCGCCATGTCCATGTGTGCATCCACGTGCACCAGCCCCATAGGCCCATGCCTGATGACAACAGGGCGGCTCAGAGGCCAGGCCTCCCAGTGGGGCCTGAACACCACCACCCTCCAGGCCACCAAAACTTGATGACAATTCATAGCCATGGAGGGGGGACCTGGCATCAGTTACCAGCCTTGCAACTTGTTTCTGTCTTCAAACCACTTAGCTTCTCAGAAGGACAATAAGCTCAGAGAAGTCAAGCAGAAAATAGTCATGTGCTTTAGCTGACACTCCCTACCTATCACCCAGAATTTTCTTCACTTACAGATGGAGAGGGCTGGGAGGATGCAAGTAAAGGGTGGCGGCTCAGGTGAGCTCGTCTGAAGGCTCAACTAAGCAGCACCACCCTTTCTCCAACTGCGGTACCAAGAAGCAGCTTCCACCCAGCTCTCTCTCTATAATCCCCATCAACCCTGCCAGCCGCCCCAAAAAAACAGACAATCCAAATCAGTGCCAGGCAAACACAGCTTCCAGAAAAGCCTTGTACCCACCCACCCACCTCCAACCAGAATGCCACCCACATAACTTTCCTCTATATGAATTCTGGAGCTCACCACCTTGGCCCATCTGTCTATTTCTCAAACTAACTAACCAAAATTAGTCAATCCCTGCTAGATTTTCACTACTGGAAAAATCCATCTTCTCATCCTCTGGGAAAGGGGCCCTTTCAGGAAAAAGCAGGGCCTCTCCTCAGCAAGCAACACCATTGTGCCTGTCAGTATTCATATTTGACCTTTGAAGCAAAACAGAAACTGAAGTTAACTGGGGTTGTGTATTTCACTAGGGGCTCATCTTCCAAAAACAGAGGCAAATGCTGAGCGTGCATACCAGAGCAGATCTAGGGCAAGGGTGGGTGGCCAGGGTGTTAATAATAAATTGTCTTGGCTCCCATTTGGTGACTGACAGACACACCTGGAGCTTGACCTTAATTTTGATCCATAGAAGCAACTCAGTGGGGAATTTCCTATCATCCCCAATAACCTGAGCCAGCAGAGGTCACCTGACGCCATCTAGCAGAAAACAACTCATTCCCCAGCTCCGGCCTTTGGGACTTACTTTTCTGCCATCGCTTGCAATATAGGATAGGTGATTGTGTGATCTCCACCTTCAAGGAGAAAAAAAAGAAGAAAACATCTGGAACGTGGATAAGATTCGAGGACCATGTATCACCTAGAACGATCTTTAATCTGCCCAATTCTGCCACCCTTTCGATTAGACTGGAAGAACTATAACCCCAGTTAAAATATGATCTTGTTCAGTGGTGGAGAAATGGCCACTAAATGTCTGACATTACATTGTCGTTTAAAAGAGGAAATTAAGGCTTATAGGGAAAGTGCTCAGACCAGCTCTGTCCAGTTGAACTTCCTGCAGTAACACGCATGTTCTGTATCTGCACTGGCCAACATGGTGGTCACTAGCCATTGGCTATTGAAATGTGGCTCATGCAACTGAAGAATTGAGTTTTTTATTTTATTTAATTGTAATTCATTTAAATAGCCAAATGTGGCTAGGGGCTACCATAATGGACAGCACAGGCCTAGAAAAGTATTACCATTGATAATTATTAATAACAACAACAGCTATATTTATGGAAGCTTAAAACATGTCAGTCACAAAGCTGGGCACTTTATATGCACTTTTGTTATATGCCCCTGACACAATATAAGAAGGTAGGTGGTGGTATTTTTATTCCCATATTACAGATAAGGAAATGAAGCATGAAGAGCTAGTGAGAGGTGGAGCTGAGATTTCAAACCACGTCAGCCAGAAACCCCACTCCTTACCACTATGCTCTGCAGGCTAGGCCCTCTCATTTGGCAAAAATAAATTTGGATATTTAGAAAAAGGTACGATTTTGACTATTGGTGAACAGGAAGAGAAAGAACTGCTACAGTGAGAGTGGGGCAGGGTGGGGGAGGGTAAGAGGAAAGCTGCTCTATAGATTGACATAGACCCTGACGAGAGGAAAAGACCCCCTTGCAGTTCTCCCAAATAAAGTCATTGAAACAACGTCCTTGAAATACTTAAGAAGTCACAACTAAGCCCCTGCTGGCAGCCTCCTCAGGCCTGGCATCAAGGGCTGGGACAAGGTGAGGTGGATAGAGGCACTTGCCAGATGCAAAATTGAAGGGACACCAAAAAAAAAAACCTCAGTAATTGGGGAATTCCCTGGCGGTCCAGCGATTAGGACTCTGCGCTTACACTGCAGTGGACCTGGGTCCCATCCCTGGCCAGGGGACGAACGAAGATCCTGCAAGCTGTGTGGCCAAAAAAACAAAAAGAAAAACTAAGTAATCAAGATAAATACTATTTTAATGTAATATTTTTAAAAATCAAAATCAATGCAAAAAAAAAGGATCCACAATAGGGACTTCCCTGGTGGCGCAGTGGTGAAGAATCCGCCTGCCAATGCAGGGGACACAGGTTCGAGCCCTGGTCCGGGAAGATCCCACATGCTGAAGAGCAACTAAGCCCGAGAGCCACAACTACTGAAGCCCGTGTGCCTCAGAGCCTGAATGCTGCAACTACTGAGCCCGTGTGCCTAGAGCCCGTGCTCCACAACAAGAGAAGCCACCGCAATGAGAAGCCCGCGCTACTTTATTTTATTTATTTATTTATCTTTTTTATAAATTTATTTATTTTATTTTATTTTTGGCTGCGTTGGGTCTTTGTTGCTGCACGCAGGCTTTCTCTAGTTGCGGTGAGTGGGGGGCTACTCTCCGTTGCAGTGCACGGGCTTCTCATTGCGGTGGCTTCTCTTGTTGCGGAGCTCGGGCTCTAGGTGCACGGGCTGCGGTAGTTGCAGCATGTGGGCTCAGCAGATGTGGTACACGGGCTCTAGAGCGCAGGCTCAGTAGCTGTGGTGCACGGGCTTAGTTGCTCCACGGCATGTGGGATCTTCCCAGACCAGGGCTCGAACCCGTGTCCCCTGCATTGGCAGGCGGATTCTTCACCACTGTGCTACCAGGGAAGTCCTCCATGATAAACTTTAAATAAAGATAGGATCAGCAACTGTGCTGTTCTGAGCCATACTGGAACCTGAGGCAAAAAGGGAAATCAGTAATATGTATTGCTGACTTTTTGGCACCCCTTAAATTTTGCACCAAGGTGAATGCCTCACTTGCTTCACCCTGGTCCATCCCTGTCAGTCACATTAGTCCAAAAATGTAAATATCCTCTCCCCAGGGGTTAAAATTAATGAACTAAAAAATGTTCCCTTTCCAACTGTCTCCATATTGACAGTGGCTCACCCTGGAGAAGTAACCGTTCTCCAGCTCATGATAAATAGACCCTGAGCTCAGAGAACTACCCTCGCCCTTGCAGATGCCATTACCCAAGGTCAGAGGAATACAGCCAGCTGCTACAATTTTCTGATAGGCCTCTCGAATCAGGCGGCAGCTGTCCTGAAGGTTGTAAAGATTGACATTCACATCGCCTAGGTCTGCAACCATGAGGGACTGGAAGGGGAGGGCTCCTGTGCTAGGGTTGGCTGTCCGAAGCAGCACTGACTCCTCGCGGATCCGTCGGGGTCCAAATCTGGAGGAGAAAGAATCAGCCTGTGAGCCATCCCTAAAGGTTTAAAGGCTCTGCCTAGGCCGGGGCTTCCCAGGCTCTGTGCTGGGGCTGGCTGAATCTTTGCTGCAGGGGGTAAGGGGTCATCCTATACATTGCAGGACGTTTAGCAGCAACCCTGGTCTTTACCCACTAGATGCCAGTAGCAGCCCTTCCCCCATGTTGTGATAACCAAAAATGCCTCCAGACTCTGCCAAATGTCCCCTGGGGGGGAAAAGTCACACACAAGTTGAGGACCACTGATCTAGCCTATATAGTGAAGAGATTAAAGGTACAGACTTAGAAGCCCACCAATCACCAATTTACTAAATGGCATTAGATAATTTCTTAATCTCCCTGAGCCTCAATTTCCTAAACTGTTGCTGCGGAATCATAAATAGCTGATGTTCAATAATTAGAAAAATCGATTTTACTTCCTCTAACTTGATCTTAGGAAAACTGCCTTATTTGGGGGACTTCCCTGGCGGTTTAGTGGTTAAAACTCTACATTTCCACTGCAGGGGGCATGCGGTGATCCCTAGTGGGGGAACTAAGATCCCGCAGGCTGCGTGACAAAAAAAGAAGAAAAAATTGCCTTGTTTGGAGCAAATTCTTGAGTCAGGTGACACCTAGAGGTTTGGGGAAGGGGCAACCAGCTTCTGTTCTCAAACTTAATGTCCCCAGCTTCTGTAAACCAGGGTACCCACAGCCACCATCCAGCTAGGCCAGGGAATGGGGCAGGGAGAAGGCTCAGTCCTTAAACCCCCTTTCTTTACCAGTGGGTGACACGGCTGAGCCCTCAGGGTTGCTTGAGGGAAACCAGCTGTCTCTCAAAGGATTAGGGGCACTTTGGAGCCAGGCACTGGCTTCCAACTCGACCCTGGGTGAGGGAAAGCGCCTCTCCGTGAGTTTTGTGTGCGCAGTGGCCGTCAGGCTGTCCCAACACGTGTCCCCGAGTCCTTCGGGGCTTACCTCGCCCCCGGCCGGTTGGAGGTCCCAATGTCCAGTGGCACCCCGATGAAGGCGGCATCCAGCCCCTCGGGGGAGGCCTGCACGGGCAGCCGCATCATGGAGCAGATGCCCACCGACCGGGCCACGAACTCAGAGCTGGGAGGTTGGTTCCGGGGGGCGTCGGAGGCCTGGCGGCTCTGGCTGCTGCCGGGGTCGCAGAGCCCCGCCGCAGGACGCGCGTGGCCGCCGGGAACCAGCCCCCGCGCGCCCCCGCCGCCCCCCAGGCTCCGGGCGCAGCCGGACGCCAGCAGCCGC